GCCATTGCTGTCGTTGTCCCCAAAGTTTCCTCTTGCACATGTCCTACTTGAGCCGCCTCTGATAGATAGATTAGATTGAGGCTACTGCCCGCAATTGCTGTCACACCCAAAGCCCCTTGCATATAGTCACAGTGGCCCCTTTAGCCCCTGAGGCAATCAACCAGTGAACCCCGAAAGCTTGTCGGAATACTCCAGATGGATCCTCATGGGGTCTCCGAACCCAATTTGACGGGTTGAAACAGTTTGATGATTTTAGAGTCTGTTCGGTTTCGAATGGGACGGTCATGCTGTTCATCAAAAGTATATAGCTCGACGTTGTTGCCGCTGGGGACTTCAGACGACTCTAGTTCGGCACAAGCTTCGCTTTTCTCAACTTCAAGTCACTCCTTTTTGACCTTCTTCGCACTTTGTTGACCAACTCAGCATCTGCACCTTGCCCGTCATGGCGCTTTCCATTCTTTCCGCTACTCTTCTTCTTGCCAGCCTCGTCTCCGGTCAGGCGCCTGGCAATTCTACCGATGAACACCCCAAGATCGAAACCTTCCGCTGCACCGTCAAGGATGGTTGCCAGAAGAAGACCAACTACCTCGTCGTCGACTCAAGTCAGCATCAAATCAAGACTTCGAGCGGCGTGAGCTGCCTTACCGGCAACAATCCGCCCAACTCCACTGCCTGTACCACTCCCGAGGAGTGCGCGACCAACTGCCACATCCAGGGTATCGCCGACTACAGCACCAAGGGTGTCACTACCCACGGCACGGACATTCGTCTGACCATGTTCAATGCCGACAAGCAGAAAGTCTCTCCCCGCATCTACCTGTTGGAGGAGAACAAGCAGCGCTACGAAATGATCCAGCTCACGGGATCTGAGTTCAGCTTCGACGTCGACATGGTCAACTTGCCCTGCGGCATGAACAGCGCGCTGTACCTGTCCGAGATGCTTCCGGACGGTGGCAAAAACACAAGCTCCTTGAACAAGCTTGGTCCCGCGTGGGGCACCGGCTACTGCGATGCGCAGTGCTTCAAGACGTCCTTCATCAACGGAGTTGTGAGTCCCCTCTGTCTCCCTGCCCGACACTGTGCATTACTAACACGAGAATCAGGGCAACTTTGACCAAAAGGGCTCTTGCTGCAACGAACTTGACATCTGGGAGGCCAACTCTCGTGCAACTCACATCGCGCCTCACCCTTGCAGTCAGCCCGGCCTTTACAAGTGCACCGGCGAGGAGTGCGAGAAGGCTGGCGTCTGCGATAAGTCCGGCTGCGCCTGGAACGCCAACCGCGTGAACGTGACCGACTTCTACGGCCGCGGTGCCGACTACAAGGTCGACACTACCCGCAAGTTCACTGTCGTCACGCAGTTCCCCGCCCAGAACGGCAAGCTCAAGGAGCTCCGCCGCATGTACGTCCAGGACGGCAAGGTCATCCAGAACAACGTTGTCAACATCGAGGGACCCCCGAAGATCAACTTCATGAACGACGAGTACTGCCAGGCCACTGGTGCCTCCGACTTCATGCGGTTGGGTGCTATGGAGGTCATGGGCGGTGCCATGTCGCGTGGTATGGTTCTGGCCATGAGCTTGTGGTGGGATGACTCGACCTTCATGTCGTGGCTTGACCAGGGCAACAACGGCCCTTGCAACGCTACTGAGGGTAACCCCTCGGTTATCACCTCGATCGTGGCCAACCCTGAGGTGACGTTCAGCAACATCCGCTTTGGAGAGTTGAACTCGACGATGAACATGAGGCTTTAGGCTACATGTTACTACCACATTAATTGAATAACTAGCCTCCTGAACTTTCGTTTACATTATCTTGATGATCTACAGTGAGATAGCCTGAGAACTTAGTGAGATTAATGCCGAAGCAAAGGAGATTTTCGAAATTTCTGACATTATACCCCCGTTTCATTGACTCGATAGGCTTAGCACTTCTTCATCGTTGACCCAATGATCTCAGCAGCTTGCTCTGCTAGAGCGTAGACAGCCACTTGTAGGTTGGCCGAAACGGAGACAGGAAACACTGAAGTATCAACAACACGAAGACCCGAAACCCCAATCACGCGCAAGTCTGTATCCACAACAGTACCCATGGAGGCTGTGCCTGCAGGATGGTAGCATCCCCTGTGATATGTTTTAGAAGAAGTTGTCTTCATCCGCAGGAAGGCGTCACTTACCCTGCCATCTCGCGCACCCGGGCATCGATCTGCTCGTCTGTGGAGTTCAGTGTCAATGGCTCTGCCGCCAGCTCGCCCGCCACCACCTCTCTTCCTATAATCGTTTCATCAGAAGTCAGCAACTTGATGTTGCGTCTGATGGTCTCCCTAGCAGCATAGCGGTCGACGTTAGTACCCAAGAAGTTGGGATCGATGAGTGGTGCATCCTTGATATCGGAGGATTGGATAGTGATAGAACCTCGGGCAGAGTTGATAAAGACAACCGAAATCATCAAGATGGCTGAACCATCCGCGGAAACCCCCGAGTACTGAAGCAAGTGTGATGAATGAGCGCGATCTTGCTTCAGCAACGGATGTACAGCGGGATCCGGGACCGATCCCTCGTCTTCGGCAATGGCAATAGCTAGACCTTCTTTCTCGAGAGAAGTGACCGTCATGAAATCGATGAAAGCCCCTAGTGCGTATTGAGACTGGTTGAAAACGGGATTGCCGGACTCCTTGGCGTATCCTGCTGATGCGTTCTTCAGTTGCCAGATCGTAGGGATCAGAACGTGATCGTGGAAGTTCCGGCCAATCGCTGGTTGATCCAGAAGGACGGGGATACCAAACTTCTCCAAGGTATCCGCGGGACCGATGCCTGAAAGCATCAGGATCTGCGGCGTGCGGTACGCGCCAGCAGACAGAATGGTCTCTCGTCCCAAAAGATCGGTCCCGTTCTCAAGCCTAATTCCACGAGCGACGAGATGACCATCCTTTGGATGCTTCTCCATCAGGACTTTGGCGACCAAGCTATCGGTCAGAACCGTAATACCTTTGAGGGAGTAAGCGAGCGAAGCAAGTTGGCGTTTTCCTTGGTTCCTGTTCTCCTGAAGGTCTGCAACACCAAGGTTGTTTCCGGCATTGTTGTCCAGTTGAGGGAGTGCATCGATTCCAAGCTCTTTCCAAGACTCGAGTAGGGGTTCGCGGAGAGGGAAAACGCGACCGGTGGATCCTGGTGACTGAACCTTGACAGGGCCAGTGTGCCCGTGAGAAAGGGGGTTGGTGAAGTTGTCAAAAAGCGACTCAGTCTTCTTCATGTACGGAAGTTGACCTTCGTAACTCCATCTTTGGTCGCCAACTCTCTCGGCCCAGATGTCATAGTCAACCTTGTGACCGCGGGCCCAGGCAGCTTCTTAGTCGTTAGATGACCCATGCCAATTCCGCAAAACAGTTGAGCTTACCCCCATTGATAATGCTACCACCTCCGAGTCCCTTACCGACGGGCGATAGAATCTCCCGGTTGTCAAGATGGGTTTGTGGAACAGAGGAGAACCCCCAGTCGTATTCGCCACCGATGGCATTGTTCATGTCAATCCATTCGATGTTCTCGACGGCATGGGTGTTGGTGCCAGCTTCAACGAGCAGGATTCTGAGGGTTGGGTCCTGTTGAAGCAACCTGTTTGATACCACGGAACCGGCGATGCCGCCTCCGACTACAATACAGTCCCAAAGAGTCATCTTGCTCGCTTTGTATCTTGAGTCGCAAAGAATCAGACTGAAAATGAGAGAAATGAAAGATGGGCAGTCATTCCCGGGGCGACGTGGGTAGGACTGGGCGGGACATAATTAATACATGCTGGTAATGCCTTGGAGCTAGTAATGAATGACAACGTGTTATCGCTGGCGAGATTTTAACCCGGCCTTGTATCTCGGTTCGGCTCCTAACCTTGGTTCGCGACAGAATAATACTGGATACCAAATTTCAGGTGCAGATATCGGGAATTCCGCACGTACGAGGCCCACTGAGACTTGGTATCCCATCTAACCTCAACTATCTTTTCGCGCAGGGGCAATGGGCGGGCCGGCTTGATGCATGTGCTCTGCTGTTGGTACATTCAGGTTGGCTGTTGGACATCACAGCGGATTTTTGCCACCATGTCAACTATGGGAATAAGGTTCCACTATCCTGCATTATGAAGCAAAAGATACACGGCGGTTGAATACCACATTAGTTTGAAGAACCTGAAGCTTGGGACACGCAGCTTCGTGTTCGCCGGCGATGATTGCAAGCATATCTCCAATCGGAGTGCCTTTCAGGCACGGAACAACGGACTCCTTCCGCTACAAGAATCTAGCAAACATGGTCAGGATCCAATGTGGCAGAACCCCGTGTGTTGATTCAATAGCCGCGTTCCGCAGCAAACTGTTCCGAATTGTTGTTGGTGAAGAGTTTCTGGCGAGAGCCCTTGGCATCCCCTTATTGCCCATGTCGTAACCTGGCATCAGGTACGGAGTTGCCCGTCAACGCCCGTGAGAATACATAGTACGTGAAGCTGTGCCTCTTCCTTTGAGTGGATTATAAGACACTAGACAAGGGGAAATGTTTGCTTCAGTTTGCAACTTGCCGTAATGGGTAAGGTCCAGGTGTCTACACTATGCGGTTGGTTCAAGGTTACAGTCGGATTCGTAGAATGTGGAACCGTAACCTCCTGCCGACAGGGGTCTGAGCGAGGTTTCTAGGATATTTCACTTGATTTTGTTGGTAAACTGCGTTGGTTGCGTGATGTGGTGATTCTGTCGCAAGGGACCGATGAACGATAACGAGAGAAAGGCTTGATCCATGGAAGAGGGTTCGCTTCGAGATAATGACTGAATCTTGTCGATGTGAAAAAGAAATTTGTCTTGGCAACCTCGGTTCGAGGCCGCGAGGTAGAGAATGGAACGAAAGGATCAGAGGCCCCTCCAAGAACAACAAAGTCAAGCAGTAGATCTCGCTGGATCATCTCCGTGTACCTGGAGCGGTCCTTTCTCATTTTCGTCACTTGACAAGTATCTATATTTCAACATGGACGCGGTTTTGCCCATCTTCTTCGAACTCCGAGAAGAGTCTCCGACCCTGATTACAGACAGGTATCCGCCATTAACCCGCGATGGAGCCTCACTGGTTTTGACAGCGTGCATCATGATGGTGCTGACAACGCTATGGACGATCATGAGGTTTATTTCTCGTCGCATAACGGGAATATCTTTTCATATGGAAGATTACTTCTATTTCTCTGGGCAGGTATGTCACCGGCAAGAACGACTGTATCTTTGGGCAAGAACTCACCCTACAGCTTCTCTACTACGGTGTTGCAACGTGCTTTATTCTAGGTAGGAACGCTCATCTTGTCATCCAACTCGAAAACTAAAGCGGCTAATGCATTTGTGATTAGGAGTTATCCTCGGCGGTGCTGGCCATGACGTTAGCGTTCTGGATCCGAACCTTCACATTTCGCACTTCGTCAAAATCTTTCTGGCAGCACAGGTTTTGTACGCTAGCGAGCTCTTGGCGATCAAGCTCAGCATTATAACCTTAATGCAACGCATATTTTCGCAGAGCAGCTCATGGTTTCGTGCAACAAGTTGGGTTGCTGTTGGCCTGTCATGCATATGGGCGCTCTATACGGCCCTTCTTGGCTTCGTCATCTGTCAGCCGATTCAAAGTGCTTGGGACATAAATGTTACGAAGACTGGCTGCGGGGACTATACCTTGGCTTTCAGTGCAGTTGCCATCTTCGATATCATCACCGACATAGTCATTGTGGTGCTTCCCATCAAGGTTGTCAGTGGTTTGCAAATGGCTAGAGCCCACAAAATTGCTCTTTGTGTGGTATTCGGAGCAGGTTTCATGTGAGTAGACGCCTTAAGTTGTGTTTCACCATGATGATTGGAGCGCGTTTTATTTACCGCTCAACCCGGATCATTTGAACTCCTCATGCGAGTCACGGCAATCATCGTTTGCTGACCTGAGCTTGGCTTGGAGCACGATAATCTTCTCGGGCGTCCGCCTCTACTACACCCTTACCGCAGACTTCGTCAACATCACTCGAGGCTTTGCTTCTGCATCAATAAGTGGAGTACTCCAATCAGGCATTGCTGTCATGGTAGCTTCAAGCCCTATGCTTCGCCCGGTGTTTGACCGAACTATCGTGCGATGGTTGAGTTTGTCCATTCGCAGTAGTGGGCGCACAAAAGAAACTGCACCTACGGCATCGCAAGGACATATCGTCAAGAGTAGTAAATCTAGTCAGCTCGGAAGCCATCGTCGCGTGGATGGCTTCAAGCAAATGTCTGATAGTGACGAGAATCTCAGCTGGGAGATGCAGGGGTTAGGTAATAGGGCAAATTGTAGGACCGGAAGAATAGCACAGGCTCAAATCTCTGCTGAAACAGTCTCGCAGCCTGCAAGTCCTAGATCTCCGACTCCAGACAGTACTGGAATAGCTATTACGCGGACAGTAGCTGTGGAAAGACATAATGTGGGAAGAGGCAGCCTTAGCTAAAGTAGTGAGGCCCAGAGAGTTCGATGAGAGGAAACCCCTAACTGTTAACATGATATGTTGTAGATCATAAGAGAAAGTCATTGAATTTCACTCACTCGCATATTCTTGCAACACTCACATGCCGGTTAGATTTACCTGCGAGCTTTACTGACTGGAATAAAATTTGGAAGGAAGACTTGCGAGGTAAAATGGTCATCGAATAGAATATTGGCTGAGCACGTTTTATTCGGCCTGCATACTATGTCGCTTGATATGAATACGTGGAAAAGTCTCTGGACGTTATTCATAGACCTGATATCGCCGCTACGATTTATTCGTGAGCCTGGGCAGACTGAGCATACTTTAGGTACCGAATATCTATGAGCTGTACATGACAGAGCAGAAGATTTAGATCACACTATATTGTTACTGGCGGTGAACTGGTAAAATTCTTTGTTCGGTGTCCTTCCTCTTGAACCACCTGGACAACTGATGCCAATTTCAAACTCAGGCAAACGTGGAGTTCAAGTAGACATGCGGTATGTAAGCAACAGAGGTCTACCCACTGTGTTTGGTGAGTGATCTGAAGACTAGGACATTACTGCGGCCCGGCGACCGTAGCATGATGTGTGTGGCAGGTAATATTCGGAGAATTTTATTGGCTGATAATTGAGCAGAAGGTGCTGCAGTGAGAATCAACAGCTGAGAGCCAACGTGGGGCAGGGTAGAAACTACCACAAGACGGCGTAGAGGGACGGGCTTGAGATGGAGGATTCAACGATGTTCCTGGCATCTGTGTAAACTTCAGTGATACCACAAACTTTTGGGTGTAGGCTTCTTTGTTCCTATGTTTTCGTTTTCATGACTGTCGAACCTTCCTCAAAGACCACTAGACAGCCAGCTGAATTGGAAACGAATTGAAGCAGCCGCCGAGGCGCCATCCAAAGGGACTGTCCTCAATTTAAAGTTCAGCGACGAGGTGATCCAGATTCAGAAAGGCTGTAATCAGGAGCCAGAGACGCTCTCAAACTGGGCTCAAATTTGTTTCTCTATTGACTCGTCAAAACCCCTAAACTTCTACTTAAGAGCGGGTAAAAACGGTGAAAGGGCAGATATATGGAGAAGAGCATCGCAAAATGGTCCTGTTCTTATCAAACCATTTACCAGTGGCTTAATCAACCATCTCAACAACAGCTTGTGAGTGGTCCCTCTAAGCAGATAAATTGACTAGAGTAGAGCGGCTCTCGCATGGCGGTCTTATCTTATGAGAAGCTCGATCATTGATAGTCTCGGTAGTGCTGACAGTATTTTGTATCCCTGGTCAGTAGATGGTTTGCTTGCTTGCCAAGTCGCGGCCGCGCGCTTGCCCAGCAGTTCCTCACACCTGTGCCTCGAGGACCATCTCCCAAGGCACCCCATGATTACTGATTGTGTCAGTTCTCTCTCACTGGGCGGAGGGGTTTCTGTTACACAAACACTTACGATAGAGTCTCATGTGACCCGGCTGCCATCGTTTTCGGGCTTTGTCTCCACAGATAGTCAGCCCAGCAAGGCCGACGTAGCTTAGCATAATCAGGGGGTGCTAGTGTTTATCATGACAGAAAACCAAAGAGTCTTTCAAATCTGAACATCTAATACACGGTTACGACATGGAGAATGTGGCGGCTTATGTTCATGTTGCTTGAAATGGTTTGAGTCGAGAGGAATATGAGTCTCTGGACTGAGAGGTATCTACGAGGGAAAAAGGGCAGTGTAACCTTTCTCCATGAGACTAATTCAAGGACCACATTCGACAGCAAAACCTCTGGCAGAGGCCTGTCGCAACTGTTCCAAGTGCTTCACCGCCGACCCCAAGTAACGTTTTTGACCAGGTCTCAAGGCTTCTGCCAACCAAGCATCAAGCTCTACCCGCCTCGTCAACTTCTCTTACATCTTGTTCTACGCTCTTCGCGTCATCGGATCTTAGAGCTGGAGCTTGGGCCCGACGATCACCCTCATAGCCGCTAAATAGGATTGTTAGTGCCGGAATAGGCTGATATGAGGAGTTACTTCGATGAACTTACAATAAAACATCCATCTGGTCGATTGTGACACCCTTCGTTTCGGGCAGAAAGAAGAATGCCCAGATGGTAGCTGTGAGCATCCAGCATGCGAAAAAGAACCAAACGCCATAATCGAGACTACTGAAGATGTACGGAAGAGCTTTTGTGATAATGAACTGGATCAGCCACTGGGTGAAAGCGGCAAAGGTTCCAGTCAAATTGCGGAGAGCACCGGGAAAGATCTCTGCGGAGACGATCCATGGGATACCATTTAAACCGAAAGACCAGCTGTACTAGTCAGTATTACTGTTCTCTATCATTTGCAAGCAAGCAACCCACAATACTGAGTAGATCATGATGGCGGCGGTAGCGGCGCGGCCGCCAGCTTCCGTCGAGGCGGAAAGCTTTCCTCCGGCGACGATAATGGGTGCCGGATTGCCGACCTTGACGTAGGCACCGACGAACCATAAACAGAGAGAACAGGCCAGAGATGAAATGATCGTCGGTCTCCGTCTCCCCCAAATATCGATAAGTGCACCGTAAAAGATGATGGAAGCGACGGCCTTGACCAGACCATAGATGCCCGTGTATAGGGCCACATCACTGATGCCAATGGAACCGAAGAGCATGGGAGAGTAGTAGTTAATAGCTAAAGTATGGATCGTTAGCAGTGGGCTCCATCAGATGATAGTGACAAACTCACCCGCGGCACCGGACATGTTCTGCAAAGCAAACGCGCAGAAGACCAGGAGTAAACGGTTCCACATTCCTTTTCGCGAAAGTTCATGCAGCGATCCTCGGATGTAGGCGTAGAACCCGCCGCCGTAAGTCGCCGCAACCGAGGCTTCCTCAGCAAGTCTGGTACGGATCATTTCCACTTCCTCTTGCATGTATTGATGGTCGATCGGCAAGTGTCGCAAAGCAACAAGGTTCTTATTCGCCTCTTCTTCGCGCCCCTTCCGGTAAAGCCACAAGGGCGACTCATGAAGCAGAAATCCACCGATCAATAAAGCTCCAGAGGGAATGAGCTGAACAGCCATGGGCACGCGCCACGATGCTGAGCTTGTGGCACTCATGTTTTGATTGATGCCATAGTTGATCCAGAAGCCGATCAAAGATCCTGTCTGGTACGTGACCTCAAAAAGACCTGTAAGAATACCTCGGATTGAAGGGACCGATAGCTCGGCGATGTAGGAAGGTACCGTGGCTGTGATCACACCACAGCCCCAGCCGGTGAGTGCTCTGCCAGCATACATGTATGCGAGGTCGTTCGTGGCAGCGACCATGGGGATAGCACCAGCAAGAAACACAATGTTGCTAATGATGAGTGCCCACTTGCGACCAACATACTCCGTGACTATGGATGGCAGGCATTAGCTTCGGCTATGGAGTCTGACGTTTGCGGAGGCTTTCAGGGCATACTGAAGAAACACATAAGCGCGCCCCCTAATGCGCCAGCTTGGAAGGCTGAAGTAATATTGGAAGATATCTCCTTGGATGTTAACGATGTGATGCCGAATTCATAGACGAAACTCTTGCGCGCAATGGTTGTTCCAATGAAAGCGGAGTCATATCCGAAGCTGTCCAAGCCGAATTAGCACATTCTCTGAGGGGCCGCCTAGAGTTAGATCGGAGAATGAAGCAGGGACGAACAGCAAAGAGCCCATCGCAATGATGAAAGACTCTGTATAGAGGCGCCAATTGTACACCTCCTTCGGCGTTGGTCGATCCTCGACCGCACGAAATCCACCCATCTTCGCTGTTCGATAACACTTCGGGATTTTGGTTCCACTCTCGGTTGTAGTTGAAAGAAGGTTGCGCGCGCCTAGACCGGGCGAATGAGCATAAGGATTGCGGTCAAGACTGACGGAGTTTGAGAGAGCGGCGGCGGTGCTACCAGACTATGCAGCTCATGGCTGTTGTACACTACATAAGAGAGAGGAAACAAAAGAGAGTCTCCATGAGGAGCGAGGTTCATCCTCGATTTCCGCACTTATCCCCGCAAAGATCTTCCACCGTCCCACACTCGGATCATGGGGGCGGGGTGAAATCTGGGGAATGGCGCGCGCTAGCTTTGGTTGACACTAGAAGAATCGGAGCTCGCTGGGGGTTTTGGTAGCAGGTTTACATCCTTCGCCCTCATTGACCCGAAAACCGACAAATTTCCTAGGCATGGTTGCACCAATTAGACCATTCAAGGGGGGCCAACACGCCGATCTGACCCGAAGGACAGGGGAAGTCGTGAGGGCGGGCACGTCAATTGGAGAAGACTGGCAAGCGACGGTGGGGTTGTTGGAGTTGAGTTGTATTCATATTGGATAGCAGCGGCCCCTTCACTTCTTCAAAGACAAGGGCAGGAAACGCATTGATGCAAGGAAGGAAATCCTGGGGCGGTGAGAAGAGCCCTTAAGCCCTCAGCTAGTAGGAGATTCGACATGTGGAATGACAGTGTTACTAGCAAGTTCTTAAAATCATTGCATAGCCACAGCGAATGATTGCCAGGGCATGAAACATAACCCTCATCGGCTTCTACTTACAAATGTCAGCCGCACTTTAGTTCTCGTAAAGGAAGTTTCCAAAAGGTATCATGCATACATGCTCAGCACTGTTAAGCCTTTGACATTGTGCGCGAACCATAGATGAGAGTT